TCATATAGACTACACATTTAATCAGTTTTCTATCATTCAGCTACGTATAGACTACACCTTTGGTCAGTTTTCTATTATTCAGCTACATATAGACTTCACATTTAGCCAGTTTTCTATCATTCTGCTACATATAGACTACAGATTTAGTCAGTTTTCTATCATTCAGCTACATATAGACTTCACATTTTAGTCAGTTTTCTATCGTTCAACTACATATAGACTACACCTTTAGTCAGTTTTCTATCATTCAGCTACATCTACACATTTAGCCAGTTTTCTATCATTCAGCTACATATAGAATACACATTTAGTCAGTTTTCTATCATTCAGCGACATATAGACTACACATTTAATCAGTTTTCTATCATTCTCATTCAGCTACATATAGACTACACATTAAGTCAGTTTTCTATCATTCAGCTACATATAGGCTACACATTTAGTCAGTTTTCTATCATTCTGCTACATATAGACTTCACATTTAGTCAGTTGTCTATCATTCAGCTATATATAGACGTCACATTTAGTCAGTTTTCTATCATTCAGCTTCAGATAGACTACACATTTAGTCAGTTTTCTATCGTTCAACTACATTTTTCTATCATTCAGCTACATATAGACTACGCATTTAGTCAGTTTTCTATCATTCAGCTATATAGACTTCACATTTAGTCAGTTTTCTATCATTCCGCTACATATAGACTACACATTTAGTCAGTTTTCATATAGACTACACATTTAATCAGTTTTCTATCATTCAGCTACATATAGGCTACACATTTAGTCAGTTTTCTATCATTCCGCTACATATAGACTACACATTTAGTCAGTTGTCTATCATTCAGCTATATATAGACTTCACATTTAGTCAGTTTTCTATCATTCCGCTACATATAGACTACACATTTAGTCAGTTGTCTATCATTCAGCTATATATAGACTTCACATTTAGTCAGTTTTCTATCGTTCAACTACATTTTTCTATCATTCAGCTACATATAGACTACGCATTTAGTCAGTTTTCTATCATTCTGCTACATATAGACTTCACATTTAGTCAGTTTTTTTAGTCAGTTTTCTATCATTCTGCTACATATAGACTTCACATTTAGTCAGTTTTTTTAGTCAGTTTTCTATCATTCTGCTACATATAGACTACACATTTGGTCAGTTTTCTATCATTCAGCTACATATAGACTACGCATTTAGTCAGTTTTCTATCATTCAGCTATATAGACTTCACATTTAGTCAGTTTTCTATCGTTCAACTACATTTTTCTATCATTCAGCTACATATAGACTACGCATTTAGTCAGTTTTCTATCATTCAGCTACATCTACACATTTAGCCAGTTTTCTATCATTCAGCTACATATAGACTTCACATTTAGTCAGTTTTCTATCGTTCAACTACATATAGACTTCACATTTAGTCAGTTTTCTATCGTTCAGCTACATATAGACTACACATTCAGTCAGTTTTCTATCATTCAGCTACATATAGACTACACCTTTGGTCAGTTTTCTATTATTCAGCTACATATAGACTTCACATTTAGTCAGTTTTCTATTATTCAGCTTCATATAGACTTCACATTTAGTCAGTTTTCTATCATTCAACTACATATAGACTACACATTTAATCAGTTTTCTATCATTCAGCTAAATACAGACTTCACATTTAGTCAGTTTTCTATCATTCAGCTACATATAGACTACACATTTAGTCAGTTTTCTATCGTTCAACTACATATAGACTTCACATTTAGTCAGTTTTCTATCATTCAGCAGCATATAGACTACACATTTAGTCAGTTTTCCATCCTTTAATATCCTTGTTTATGATCATATCAACGCTATACGACTTTAACAAGTTGACACAGCCGAACTAAAATTCGGCCAATGTACTGACATTTAAAATTATCACAAAGATAAAATCATTTGACGATTTCAACGCACACATATGTATTGTACTACCTTCGACATGCACTGTAACTTACATTATTATTGATGTATTCGGTTTATGTTATGTGACAAACTTAGCCATTTCGTAAGGGTGTGATAAAATAAAACATGTCAACACGTCTTTTTGGCGTCAGCTCTATCGTTACATAACGCAATGGTAGAATGGTTGGGAGGGTGAGGTGAGGGAGAAGACCGACGGGGGAGTCGCGGCCCACACTTATCCTAGTTCAAATCGCCTGTTTACATGGTGAAAAGAAGTTTATATTTACATATGGTAAAAAAAACACATAAATAGCTCATTTAGTCGTTATCCCGACAAGGTGGGTGGTAAATAAGATCACAGGGTTACCACCGAAAGCGATAAAATCACCCCGGTACACATCAGTTCTGGTCGGGGGGTCGATGTACGTTACATAACCAGACAATGATGGCGACGGTTCGTTATGGATAATTTAATTCGTTTTACAAGATACAATGCCTGCTTGTTTTATATAAATCTATTTGCAGATCAGTTCAGTAAAATGTCTTTGTTCTTTTCTTTTTATACAGATTTACTGTTGTATTTTGTAGTTTGTTTGTACACATATAGTGTCACACAAAGTTCACGACCCCTCCGGATTACTAAACGTTTACTATTCTAGACATTTGTTCAGAAGCTGAACTTACACATAAGCTGAAGCGCCCGATATGAGGAGGTGTTCTTAACCCTCGAGATTTTGAGGGGGGAAAAAGCGAAAAAAATCCTTGGATATAAATCCATGGAGTTAAAAGTATACCCAAGGGTGTAAGGGGCGTCAAATTTTGATAAACTTGCTACCAATAGGAGGTTAACGGTGACAAGCACGGGTATAATTATAGTAGGTGTAAATTATTATTATTCAGACTTTTTTCACTTCTTGTCATACAATTTACCGCCTTCGGATAACGACATCAATTTCATTTTCTTGTGTACAGATGGAAAACTTTGGAAATTATATTTTGTTGGTCCAATCTGCATAACATGAACAAATAATAAAACGGCAAGGGCGATAATGATTTATCTTGTCAGTACATATAGACTACACAAGGGTGATAATGATTAATCTTGTCAGTACATATATTCTACACAAGGGCGATAATGATTTATCTTGTCAGTCCATATAGACTACACAAGGGCGATAATGATTAATCTTGTCAGTACATATATTCTACACAAGGGCGATAATGATTTATCTTGTCAGTATATATAGACTACACAAGGGCGATAATGATTTATCTTGTCAGTACATATAGACTACACAAGGGCGATAATGATTTATCTTGAGAGAATCTGAATGCATATTGAAATAGGTTCCTATCGCGAATGAGAAAACAAATGTCAGACAATTTCCCCAATACTTTCGTACATATCTCGCATTCTCTTAAACTGACATATGATACCATTCATCAATCCACGTCTAACTCCACCTTTCTAAAACTTAGGCCAGAGTTTGTCAAATTTACACTTTTGAATGTTTTATTATCAGAAAATACGTCATGAATCATTTTCTTTATCAGTATTTGTAATAAATTGTGTACCTCGTTATTAAATTATATACTGTATACCAAGTCTAGCTTTAAATCAAAACTGAGCCTAATGTCATGATACAATAATTTAATCTTGCTAGTAACAAGCATTTTCATTGGCTTAAAAATGTGTGTTATCAGCCCATAACGTAAACAAATGACGTCGCCGTTTGTAACGTCACTTTTGATTGGCTAATACAGCGGCGTAATAATTTATTAGAGAAAATTGTCCATCAATAAAAGTGGATTTCCACAGGTATTGTGTATAGTAGATTACATTATAAGGATTGACTTGAATATATATTTTATGTTAAGGAGCTATAACACAAAAAAGCAGAGTGTACTCTCATCGTAAACCGCTTCGCGGTTCATTTAGAGTACACCCCTTTTTTTGTGTTATATCTCCATAACATAAAAAATATATTCAAGTTTATCCGTAAGTAACATTTACTTAGAAATGACGTAAACACTGGAGCTACAATTTGAGTAAATACATTCTGTATGTCATTCTCAACTTCCATCTCCATGTAAACTTTTTATTTAATATCAAGCAACATTTAACTCCATTCCCAGCGCCACAGAACACGAATTTAAACGTTGTTATTCATTAATATAAAGGTGAAATTAATTGATTTGGTGACTGTAAAGTAATCGATCGTTTCTGTTATTAAAATAAGTGAGAGTTTCACGTGACGATACACGATAATTGATCATTCATAAAAGTCTTTCACATGATCACAATTAACTGATGATGCGGAAGACAAAATCAATGACGTAGAGCACAGATTTGTGGTTATCTGTCCGTGGGTTACACCTCCTCTTTCCCGCCGTTTTATTACAATCACTGACAGTCTGTCTGGCATTGCCCCCTACAGCAGGTATAGGGTTTCACACTAAACAGGAGAACAACGCTTGTTTTATTTAAAACATTGACTCATGAAGTCGCCTTTACCTTCTGTCGTATTAATTACCCTGTAGAAACGATCTGATAGAAAGCTAAATAAAATACCCCAAAACCCAGTAAACCGAAAAGATATACATTGTATATCTTAATTCGTATAGAAATATAACAAACACATGTCAACATTTGTGTCATAGAAATAGTTGTGAAGGTGTGAAAGTTGTCGATATAAGGAACGTTGTTAAATCTATCATCCCACCTGTGTCTAGATCCTCCCACGGGTCTGCCATGCGCGTCGAGATCACGTGCTTTCCTACTTAAGGGCCAACATAGATGAACTTAGGTCATTTTTATACCACTGAACCCATGTTACGTGTAAATCTCAGACTCTCATTGTACGCCATTAATTAAAACACTTTAGTTTGCTATTTCAAATTTTCCATAGGGACTCTATCTACAGTGTATATCTAATGCATGTTCTTTTATATATGCATGCATATCAAACAAGTCCTTTATTGTATTTTTGTATGTCAATATGTTTATATAGCTAGAATTGTGTATTGCTTCACACAGGCTGACGATTCGGCGAAATACCATCGCGGGGGGTTACAAGAACTTACAGTGTTGATTTAAAAGTCCGTGGTTTTAATAACTCGCCTCAGTTTTAACATTTCAACTGGAGCTAGCAGAGAATACCCATATCCATTGGAGATATAGCGCAGCGTATATGGACACGTAATTCACAACTGTTAAACCAAGGTGAACCAAGGATGGGAAACGGTAGCAGCCTGAAGATTAAACTCCTTCCCTTCAAACCAGCTCCACCGGTAAGTAACCACTTGTATATCTGCCTTTCTCTGTCTTGTTGTTTCTTACGTTCTTCTCATTTTTCCTCCTCTCTCCTTTCTTCCTGTTCTTTTCTCCATCGCTCTGCAATATTTTCTCAGATTCATAAACGCGGGTTCCATTCATTGAATGGATAGGAATTGCTTGTTTATGTTCCGGAAACTTCGATAGCCGTACACTCAGTAAAGGATTCACTTTATTTTTGGAAACAAGTGTTATTTTTGATAATTAGAAAACCAATGTGTGCTGGTAAGTAAAGGGTCCTGATGCGGCCCATGCTTTAGGCACGAACTGATGTGATGGTAGAGTAGGTGTCATCGATTCTTTAAAAGAAGCCGGAGAGCCGAGTGCTGGTCGAGAGTCACCATACCTTTCACACTGCTAACATCTCATTTTAATAACAATAACATATGAAATAGGTCAGCTTCATTAATCTGAATGTGATAGAGTGAGAAGATCAGTTGTGTCTTGCGCCAGACTGGCCCACGTCTCTAGAATGCTGAATTAGGTTTGATCACGTGATTGTCTGATCCAAAGTTCTCAAACTAGTGCGCGATAAGCTAGTAGTATAATGCAACTGGGAAATTCTTTATAAAAAATAGAGACTGCTACCAAGCTGCGCGTGTGCAGGAAGATACAGCGCGTGCCGGACAAATATTGACTGTGCCGGGTAGACATGAACATAACATAAACAAGTAAATAAAATGTTCTTTTTGTACTTTCTGTAGTCCATAATTCGAGTTTGTAATACGGCATTGGTAAACTGTTACGTTAGAATTACGGAGTGGTCTTATTCCGCAGGGATACGTTTTTTATTGATTAACGTTTAAATACCCGAATTCAATGATAACCTGTTGTTCTATACAGACACAATAGCACACCAGTGGATCATTGACACCAGGAAGTTAACGTTAAGTTTTATCACAAGATTTTTTACCGGTGGAATTCTGCCAGAAAAATCAATCCTTTTGTAACTGTTTCTAAACCCGTATGTATTGTTCTAGATCCCTAATTATACTGTCAGTGGTTACTTCCCTGTTGGGTCTGATACGTCGGAGTGGAAGGCCAAGCTGATACAGATTTACTTAGACAATTCCATAGGCACGATATACATGTATGCGTAAAACAACAACAACAACAAAAGAAAGAAAGAAAAATAACCGAGCGGCTTTAATTTCTTCAGAGGTTTGTCAGAGATTCTCTAAAGAACTTCTCAACAGTTTATTGTTTGGTTACTCGGTTGTATATATCATATATATGAAACATAATTGAAAATAATACATGCCCATATAAAATAAGGAAATATAGAAGAAATGAGATATGACGACGGATTTAAAACTGAAGAGCCATGTGGAGAGTGAAATCGTCTAGTTTTTAGTCGATCGTGAATCGACCATCATGAGGGCTTTAAATATATATATATCTTTTCAAATTTTTGTCACACATCCAATTAAAACCATGGGACAATCCCTCAGAACAGAATGCAGGGTAATGCTTACGTAGTTTGATATAACTGCCTTCCGAGTTCTGAGAATTCTTTCTAGATTCATTCAATGTAATATAAATGTTACGGCTGAACTAAACAAGGCCAATCAGATAATGTATAACTAAGTGTCCTTGAACTAGACCTAGAACTTAGCATGTTCTATCTTTCCTTGAAATCATATTAAACTTGAAACCGTGACGTTTTCTTCAATTATAACTTATGGTGGTACCGGATGACACTTAAAATCAGACCTACTTGAAGTTGGTACAACTGTAAGTGTATCTTAAAGTACGGATGCTTTTTTTCAATTTATAGGTAAATTTACCATATAGCTATCTCGATTGAAGTTTCATTACGAGTATTAAGTGATTTAGAATTGCACACTCACGTCATTAACTGCAGTACGTAATAGACAGATTATCGGATTGGTAAAAGTTTGGTGTTTTAGGCGAATGTGACACGGATGTTAGAAAGCCTTGGAGGGGAAGGTTTTACTAGCGTCGTGTTAGTTCTAAATGTTTACTGAAAATGAAATCAAATACCGATGTTACCATCGCGTTTTTGACAACTGTGTCATTTAAACACTTTAAACTATCCCTGTGATAAACAACAACTACCACGCGTGTCTTGATCACACATTACCAGACTTAGTGCAAGTCTGTGCGAATGAATACATCCATGAGTTGATGTGAACCTCGTGGATGTGTACCTCTTGGATGTGTACATCCGCGCAATAAACGAGTGCGTTCGGCGCCGGTTAAACGGTTCAACGGTTTTGTATCATGTTATATTTTCTATTAAAGCTAATAAACTCATGATTATCTAAGTTTGACTGTCCAGTTTCCTTCCCAAACAAAACTAAGTTGAGGACGAAATGTCACCACTTTATCATATCAATTATAAGTGGCGCAAACAAGTTTGGAACCCATTATTGTTTATGTCCGTCAGTAAAACCTCAGTCACATTTGCGGCGATTTCCGAAAAGGCGCCCGGGCGATGAGTTTTTTGGCCAAAATCAGCCAAGCCGGGGAACCGTAAGAACGCCGGGAGATTATCCCAGACATCGGAAAAAATCCCCGGCACCCGGGACGCCGGCCGATTACTACTTTCCGGCCGGCGACCGGCGCAAATGTGACTGAAGCATTAGATAAGTGGGTAACACCCGATGAGTTCCAATTAAAAAGGATTTCTGATTGTTTCAGTGAAAGAAAACACATCTTCTTGTACCGCCAAAAACGAAACCTTGTAATGCATGTCCTGAAAATCAGCTGCATCACTGTAAAACGATTCAAGAATTATGTAATGACGATCACCGCAGAGTTGAAATAGACCGCGTTCTAATAAATATAAACACCGAACGCTCTTATAAAAAAAGAAACGTATTTGATATTCTCTGCTATGAAAAATTGCACAATGAAGTATACAAATAGCGTTCCATCCAACCCTGGGTACACCCTCCGGGACCATGGTGTGTGAGTGGGGCCCTCAGTACGGTATCGGACAGCCTGGTACCACTCGATACTCCTCTATAAACTAGAACCTTACACAGGTTTACAACAGGACCTCTGTTTGTGGGGATCAACACGTTGATTTATACTTTCTCTCTTTGAAGTCGTCTTGTTTACCAGCAGTTTTCCCGCGATCAATTTACATACGGATTCCTCACCTGTAACTACTCTTTACACCTGTAATTACTCCTTTCACCTTTAATTATTCTTTACACCTGTCATTNCATTCAGCTACATATAGAATACACATTTAGTCAGTTTTCTATCATTCAGCTATGTTTAGACTACACATTAAGTCAGTTTTCTATCATTCAGCTACATATAGGCTACACATTTAGTCAGTTTTCTATCATTCAGCTATATATAGACTCGCATTTAGTCAGTTTTCTATCATTCAGCTACATATAGACTACACATTTAGTCAGTTTTCTATCATTCAGCTACATATAGACTNGTATATGGACACGTAATTCACAACTGTTAAACCAAGGTGAACCAAGGATGGGAAACGGTAGCAGCCTGAAGATTAAACTCCTTCCCTTCAAACCAGCTCCACCGGTAAGTAACCACTTGTATATCTGCCTTTCTCTGTCTTGTTGTTTCTTACGTTCTTCTCATTTTTCCTCCTCTCTCCTTTCTTCCTGTTCTTTTCTCCATCGCTCTGCAATATTTTCTCAGATTCATAAACGCGGGTTCCATTCATTGAATGGATAGGAATTGCTTGTTTATGTTCCGGAAACTTCGATAGCCGTACACTCAGTAAAGGATTCACTTTATTTTTGGAAACAAGTGTTATTTTTGATAATTAGAAAACCAATGTGTGCTGGTAAGTAAAGGGTCCTGATGCGGCCCATGCTTTAGGCACGAACTGATGTGATGGTAGAGTAGGTGTCATCGATTCTTTAAAAGAAGCCGGAGAGCCGAGTGCTGGTCGAGAGTCACCATACCTTTCACACTGCTAACATCTCATTTTAATAACAATAACATATGAAATAGGTCAGCTTCATTAATCTGAATGTGATAGAGTGAGAAGATCAGTTGTGTCTTGCGCCAGACTGGCCCACGTCTCTAGAATGCTGAATTAGGTTTGATCACGTGATTGTCTGATCCAAAGTTCTCAAACTAGTGCGCGATAAGCTAGTAGTATAATGCAACTGGGAAATTCTTTATAAAAAATAGAGACTGCTACCAAGCTGCGCGTGTGCAGGAAGATACAGCGCGTGCCGGACAAATATTGACTGTGCCGGGTAGACATGAACATAACATAAACAAGTAAATAAAATGTTCTTTTTGTACTTTCTGTAGTCCATAATTCGAGTTTGTAATACGGCATTGGTAAACTGTTACGTTAGAATTACGGAGTGGTCTTATTCCGCAGGGATACGTTTTTTATTGATTAACGTTTAAATACCCGAATTCAATGATAACCTGTTGTTCTATACAGACACAATAGCACACCAGTGGATCATTGACACCAGGAAGTTAACGTTAAGTTTTATCACAAGATTTTTTACCGGTGGAATTCTGCCAGAAAAATCAATCCTTTTGTAACTGTTTCTAAACCCGTATGTATTGTTCTAGATCCCTAATTATACTGTCAGTGGTTACTTCCCTGTTGGGTCTGATACGTCGGAGTGGAAGGCCAAGCTGATACAGATTTACTTAGACAATTCCATAGGCACGATATACATGTATGCGTAAAACAACAACAACAACAAAAGAAAGAAAGAAAAATAACCGAGCGGCTTTAATTTCTTCAGAGGTTTGTCAGAGATTCTCTAAAGAACTTCTCAACAGTTTATTGTTTGGTTACTCGGTTGTATATATCATATATATGAAACATAATTGAAAATAATACATGCCCATATAAAATAAGGAAATATAGAAGAAATGAGATATGACGACGGATTTAAAACTGAAGAGCCATGTGGAGAGTGAAATCGTCTAGTTTTTAGTCGATCGTGAATCGACCATCATGAGGGCTTTA